CTTACTCGCTTGTCTGGAGCTGGAATAAAAGGCCATTTTGTAAAACGTTACTAATTGGCACTGACATGGAGCATTTATTTGGCATACATGTAAATGCCCTCACATACAAGTATAATGAGTTGCAAATAATGATCTGTGTATCGCAGTGTCAAGAATTATGTGTTATATAAGAGCATTAACTAGACAGGGAGACTCAACTCTAAAGTGATATTTGATGTTATATAGTGAACAGAAAATGCTTACAGATAGTGACATAGCCATGGCCAGTTGCAGTTCTTCTTCCTCCTCCAACCAGAAGCATGTTTTCCTCTCTCCTTCAGCCTCCTCCTTCTCAAGGCGGAGCTTTTTCCCATCAAGACCTTCAAGTTCCTCATGGCAGTAAGCTTCCTCACATACATACACACACACGCACACACGCACAAACACACATATACATACACGCACAAATCATACATTAAAAAAAGAAAAATCACGTACCGCTTCGAGCAGGTCGAGCAGCGCGAAGTTAGGCTTCAGCGTCCGGAACTGGTCGCGGTCCTGCCGGCAAGAAGGGCACTGGAACACACTCTTGCGGTTCTCCGTCCCTTGAAGGAAAGATTTTCATTGCCTTTCCATTTACTCATTAAGCCTTCTCTAAATGTATCTATTCATTTCACTTATTTATCTACATTTTTCTAATTTATTATTTCTAAGACATTCTTATCTATTCTATCTACGTATGTATCTATTTATTCATCTACTTATTCATTTATTCATTCATTTAAACGTTATTTCACATACAAACACACATATATGTATATTTTACCCTGTCACCCGTTGTATCTTCTCTTACAGCAACATATTAATTATTGCAGAAATAAAACAAACAAAAAAACGAGCACCAAGACACTGAAAACAAAGACACAACGCAACGCCAAAAAAAAATAAATAAATAAATAATAAATAAAAAATAAAACAAAGAAGCACAAACCAGGAAAGAAACCAGACATTAAGCCAAACACAGATTTCACAGAAAGACAAACAACAGAAACCTTACTAAGGCATTCCTCGCAGAAGGTGTGGCCGCAGCTGGAGAAGATAAGCGGACGACGATCGTGCGCGTTGTAGGTCGACCTGCAGACTGCACAGGTTAGCCCTGAGGGAGCCTGCAAAACACGGTGCCCTGTATATTAGCCCACAGTTTCTGACTGGTCTCATTTCGCTCTGTTAATTAACTGTTTCTCTTTCTATACTTTACATACTTCCATTCATAATACACACACACGCACACACCACTCAATATATATATATATATATATATATATATATATATATATATATATATATATATATATATATGAGCTACTGGACAGAAAGTGGTTGTGACCGATATAATTATCATTATCCTTTCGACCTGATAACGTGCTGCGCAATAAGTTATGGCCCTGCAATACATCCCCACGAGCGGCTGGACCATCGATTATTATCAAGGGGGCGGGGGGGGGGGAGGTGCCAAGAACGTGGCGTCACCAAGCAAACGTCGCAACTGAACCGGCTGGGATAATGTGTATAATAATCTATAGCGCTGCCAGTCTGGAAACATGACGCGGTTCGCCTATTAACGCGGTAGACTGGCTGGGCGCCACAGGCAGGTCAATCTGTCAGGGGGAACTGCAGCCGAAAGGAGTCTCCGCAAGACGAGGCCTCTGGGGTGATCTCGTGCGTTCCCAAAAGGTGGGAAGCTACGGACGTGCCCGACCTCGGCTCATCCTCAATACGACCGCGCCGTATTAAGGATGAGCCCAAAGGGGCGAGGCCCTTGAGGCGGAGTCGACGATCGTTGATGGCCCTGCCTCTGTCGGGTGGAGCTCGCATGCAGTTATCAGAGCGCCTAAGTCGCCTCATATTTCGTCTGATTTTGTGCGTTTCAGGCGAGGGTCTTTTAATACATGCCGTGAACTTATCCTTTCAGATCTCCATTAATGAAAAAAAAAACATTCATCTTAGCTAAAGACTAGAGAGTGGTTGACAGCGGAAGCACACACGAGAAGGCTAATTCTCAGCCATTACTACATAATGGAGGGATTTATAGTGACGTGACTTTAGTTGTCATGAGCTTGTGAAAAGCATTTCCCTATATGGCTCGATGCAGGACAAGATCGAAATGGTCTTTAAGGTCTTTTATAGGATTATTATGCAGTAATGAAGGCAAGCAGGTGGAAGGCGGTCGGATTTGTAGCAACAGTTTTGATGTTTCGCGGGACATTATCTTATCTACGCCATCGAATGAACTGGTAAAGGTTTGTCAAACTATAATTTCATGGCATTAATCAGTTCTAATGGCTTTCGGTTTCTATCACAAATTTTTTTATGTCAGTTTTTTTTATTATTATTAAATAGCTATTTGAAGTTAGAACTTTTTATAAGCTAAAAAGGAAAAGAAACACATGGGTATGTGCCGTCGAGGGCTCAGGACAGTTACTGTTGTCGAACTGGTTTCATTCTGTTCTGAAGCACTGAAAAACGTATTTTTGTTGTATTTCTTCCTATTATGAGAAAAAAAAATAAGCAAAAGTTAAAACGATAGAATAAGTGAATTCTTCAAATTTTATTTTCGATCAGCTAATGCCCCCAAAAAGATTAAACGAGATATTTGCATATCGTTCACAGATTTCTCCCATTCGCCATTTTTTATTTATTTCCAAAGAAAAAAAAATACGTACAACGATACTATTGCTACCTTTTAAACCTACAAAGATGCAAACCATATGGAAGTTGCTATAAATGTTTCTAAATGAACATTACCTGGTTTTCAGAGCTGTTCTCATAATGCTGATCTGATGAATAAACATTTCCCTATGTATTGTACATGCAGTACATGTGCCTGCTTGATTCTTTAATTGTTGTGTATATATATACCGTATACCTATAAACCAACACAAAGAAAAGGACAAGAGGACAGAATTAGACGAACAAAACAAACACAAAAAGCCGCCTTGCCTCGTGCACACGCGCGCCTGAGTCCTGGCGGAGGCCTCCTTGACCCAAGACGTCGCGAATGCTCTCTTGCAGGTCTCGCGAAGTCCCTGACGGCAGGCTATCTAGCGCTGTCAGCAGTCTTATCAGCAGCTCGAGGGTTTTGTTCAATTTTCTTGGCTCTGCAAAACAACGAAGTAGATTTAGCGACTGGAGATGAATTCGCAGCTATTATTTAAAGAAAAATTGAAAGGAAAATGGTCTGCAGCACAAGGTAGTGAAGGAGGAAGGGGAAGAGGAGGAACGGAGGAGGAGGAGGAGGGATGTGGAGGAGGAAAAAGTGGGAGAGGAGGAGCTGGAAAATCAGAAAACGAAGAAAACAAAAAGAAGGAGGAGGCGAGAGAACAAAATACAAATATACGTAAAAAGAAAACAGGGAAAAGTATATTCCTTTTACCTATGTCCTGCGTAAACTTTCTTTTTGACAATAATTAATATAAATCATTATTGTCTCACCTCAACAAGGGCATTGATGGTCTCTGAAGTCCGCTCTTGTTCCTTCCGAAGGGCGCACATGTCCTGTTAAGTGAAGTACATTCTGTTATATAAACTCAATCGCACAATTACTGACATGTATATTCATGTATATGTATGTGTGTGTGTGTGTGTGATATGTATTACATGCCCTCTCTTTCTCTCTCCTCATCTCTCTCGTTCTCTTTCCCCCTCTCCATTCCCCTTTCTCTCTCTCTCTCTCTCTCTCTCTTTAACTCTCCCTCTTTTCTACTATCTCTCTCATTCTCATTCTCTTTCTCATTCACTCATTCACTCACTCAATGACTCCCTCCCCTTCCTCCCTCCTTTCTTCCCAGCTTCTCCCTCTCTCTTTCTTTCATCCTTCTCTTCTCACCCTAGCTCGTTATTCCTTCCCTTCTTCCCTTTATTCCTCCTACCCTTCCATTTAACCTCCCTTCCTCCCTCGCTCTATCTCTTCTCTCCTTGCTCTCCCTTCCGCCTTTCCTTCCTCCGTCCCATCTCTCCTTCTTCCCTCCCTCCTTTACTCTCTACTACCCTTTCTCCCTCCCTCCTTTACTCCTTCCGTCCATCCATTCTCGTTCCCCTTCCCTTCCTTCCTCTATTTCTTTCCTTCCTCTCCCTCTCCCTTCCCTCCCCCTATCTTTCCTTACCCTTTCTTCCTCGCTTTACCTCCCTCCCTTCATTCTTTTGCCTCTTCCTTTCCTTTCCCTCGCCTTTTTCCCTTCCTCTCTCCCTCCCCCCTACCCTTCCCTTCCCTTCCCTCCCTCCATCCACCCTTCCCTCTCTCCATCCATCCATTTCTTTCCCTTTCCGTCCTTCCTCCATTTCTCTTCCTTCTCATACCTTTCCCTTCTTCCTCCATTTCTCTCCCTTCTCATACCTTTCCCTTCTTCCTCCTTCCCTCCTTCCCCTCCTCCTCCAATCCCCTTTCCCCCTCCTTCCCTCTATCCAATCATCCATCCCTCTCTTTCCCTTCCCTTCTGCCCTCCCTCTCCCTTTCCATCTCTTTTCCTTTTTCTCCACTCTTCCCTCCCTGCATCTCCTCCCCGTCCTTTCCTCCCTCTCTTCTCTCCCCCTATTCGTGCTTTCTCTTCCTTCCTTACTTACTCCATTTTCCCTCCCTCTCTCCCCCTTCCCTTCCCTTCCCTCCTTCTCCTTCATCCATTTTTCTCTTTCCACTAACCTGTGCAAGTTTCTCGTGTTCCTCTTCCATCTCCTTTCCGCCTTTCTCCTTGAAGGCTCTGATGATATTGGGCGTTTCGTGAATCACAGTTATGAGAACTTCTTTCACAGCATTCACGATCACGCAAGGTATTATGACGGACATCTAAAATAAAAATGAAATAAAGATATAAGGTAATAAGGTAAATAAGTCAATAAACGATTATATTCAACGTATTATAATTTTTTTCTATTTACTTTTCTTTTTAAATTTACTATTACTTTGTAGAGCGAAAGAAGCGTTTCAGAATTAGAGACATGGAGGAAATAGGAAATAGATAATGATTACACACACACACATACAAACACACACACACACACACACACACACACACACACACACACACACACACACACACACACACACACACACACACACACACACACACACACACACACACATATATATATATATATATATATATAGAGAGAGAGAGAGAGAGAGAGAGAGAGAGAGAGAGAGAGAGAGAGAGAGAGAGAGAGAGAGAGAGAGAGAGAGCGAGAGACTCGCTGTCCGATGTCTAATTAGCGTTCGAAACTTTCCTTCCAACAAGTTGTACAAGAGTTTCGACCGTTCGGAACCCTACTTTGTCGTCCTGGACCTCTTGTTCCTCTCGTCACAACAGCGTTTCTATATAAACATTAAAAGTTGCGGGTAACCAGAAATTAATGGTAATCGTTGTTATCAAAAGTTATTTTAGTGTTTTAGTGTTGGAGAGAGGCTCTGGGATCACAGTGACTATAAACCTATGCAGTGTAGAAAATAAAGACTGGTACGATAATGCATTGTGGGTAATGACGGCCCCGGAGAGTTCCGGCCGCGGCCTCTTCGTCCTGCTCGTTCTGACAGGTTGTCCGGACGAGCAAGGCAAGGTGTTCTGAACGCAGCAGTGTAGCGGTGTAATATATGAAGTGGGAGGCGATGTCCCACTCCCTCCACTATTATTACTTGTAGTTTGGTAGAGCGTGGTCGAGCGGTAAGGCAGTAGTAACTAAGGTGCTGACGTACTGGAGTACTCTGAAGATGTTGGTGCAGTTAAACTTGTCGCAGTTTTCTTGTCTTTATTCTGGGTAACTGGTACAGAGGGCAAGGCAGGTGCCCAGGGAGGAGCGCGTCCTGCCAAGCCCACGAGGGCGACCGGTCTAAGAGTATGGCACAGGAATTGCCATGGACGAAGTTCGTTTTTAAACAATATACAATGGAAAAACATGAAAGAATATGGATGAACATAAATTCAGAAACATTGGTTCACATGACCGTTTCGTGGAGAGGAACAAGGGTATATGGTTGACATGATATCGGTATGTTTTAACAACCTTACATCTGGTGGTTAGGGGACAGAATTACTGAGTGTTCATGAAACATGAAACACTTGAATATCAATAGTAAAATCAGTTACATACATAGTGATTTAGATCAAGCATTTTATAAGAAACATTTTCAGTATAAACAGGACATATTTATACTTGAAGACAACAGAATAAAAACATTGAAAATGTATGATAGTAATAAGGGTCAGATTAGCGTGTTCTACGGTTACTTTGTCAATGTCGGGCACAGGGCAGGTTGAAGTACTTGTGATATAAGAACACATGGCTTTCGTGGTCTTCGAGGGGTGAGCAGCGAGGGGAGCAGGTCACTAGAATCGGGCGGGTAATCCCACAGCACTAAAAGCAAATCTGATATCAGAACAAATATACATCGAGAAGTGCCGTCATTCCTCTGGTGCTGACTATTACGAATTATCAATAATAAATAGAGCGAACAGTAATTTGTGTACTGCAGGTCGTGTCCTCGGTAATTTTCACAGCAGTTTACGTTAAAAAATCCTTGGCAAGTTTGACCATGACGTTACTCCCTTTGAGAATAGTGACTCTGAGGTGTCGGGCGTACGATGACTTAAAAGAAGGAAGTAAAGATGGAAGGAAGAAAGGGAAGAGGGAGAGAGAGAGTGTGTGGGTGAGGACATGAGATAGATAGTTGCATATTTGCTTTAAAATAATGTTTTTATTTACTTTATGTTATGAAACAACTCTCGTATCCCCTCATATTTTGCATGCGAACGTAACCCCCATGTAAACACTAATTTTGTATACTCCTCAAGAATCGATCTGTGCTGCTAAACATTCCTCCGTATTTTATTCACGTTTTCCCCTCGAATGAAACGGATAGTGCGAGGGGGAAGACAGAGAGAAGATAAAAACATGACAATTCTGGTGTTGGTGATGGTGATGGCGATGGAGCTACTGCTGGCGGCGGCGTGGTTGTAATGATATAATGATGATGATGATGATACAGATGGTTATGATAATTATAATGATATTGGTAGGAAAAACGATGATGACTGATAATGATGATGATGATGACGATGGTTATGATAATTATGATACTGATAGGAAAAACGATGATGACTGATGATAATGAGAATGATAATAGGGACAATGACTGATTATAATGATAACGATGATGACGATAGAGAGGAAATGTAAACAGAGGAGAATGCCGATAAAAATAGAGAGCAATACAAAAGCACAAGAGAAAGAGAGTGCGTGAGAGAGAGAGAGAGACGGGGGAGGGGAGTGAAAACGACGTTGTGTGTGTTACCGACGGCGACGGTGTTACTACATGCAATAATGAGAGGAAGTGTAAACGGAAAAGAATGCCGATCAAGGTTTAAAAAAAAAAAAAAAAAAAAAACAGTATGAACATTATGTCACTAGTTTTATAAGCATTAGTTGATTTCATTGTCTTAATGTGTTCAGTACTTGTCCCTAAAGCAAGCAGCT